TATATATAGTAAATGAGACGGAATGATAATGCTTAGACAGTCTAAAACGTCAAGATTCAATTAGCCGTTTTGATAACAGAAAGCGTTACGTTCTCAATTTACCACGCATTTTTCAATTGAAAATTAAAATTCCCTCCCTGAGTCCATTTCCATGCTGAAAACAACATTTTGGGAAACATCTGCTTTCGAGTAGTTCTTTTCCTTATTTAAAAAAATTATATAGTGCTGCTTTTCGTTTAGTTATAGGGCCTACAGACCCTGGTACTAAAGGATACAATCCTAGCTGATGACGGGTTTGTGTTCGAAAACGGCTCAACTCAGTCTTCAACAAATTCTAGAAATCGAATAAAATTCGTGCTTCAGATTGAAAGTGGCATTTTAAACAGAGGAAACCATTTTCAGGAAGTGCCTCAAGTTATAGAAACCTTATTACACGTACCGAAACTTTTTACCTCAAAAAAACCTGTCAAAAATACCTTTTTTTTTAACTACCAAATATACTTCTCTGTAAAGTTCTAACCCAATTAAAAAAAAGAAACTGTACAAATAAAACCGATAAAAATAGTCTGCTAAAGTACAAGGCGCGTTATATAGATCTGAACTACTAGCAAATTATGGATTATTACAGAGAAGGAGTAAAAAGCGAACATGACTTATGGACTATCGGAATATTTTGCCCTCCGTTTTGTAGGTGTAGGAAAACTTGAATAGTTACGTTGCATACTCGTTACTACTTGTATATGTGATTTACACGGGTAAGATTACGTAAAGTTCGATGCCATTTGCTAACTCCGTTGTGTATTTTATAGCCTCTGAACTATATGAATGCAAGCGTTGTAAGTTGCACTAAATTATAGGGACGTAGCTCAGTCTCCGACCATCACCCCCCATTCGAAACTGCTCAACCCCAACATTTATTCAATTTTCACTTCTACGTTTCAGAGAGTTCTATGTAGGAGCTTATCTATATATTACATGGATTTACGAAAGCTAAGTCGGGTAGAACGATATATATACATCGATGGTTATTTTGATAAACAGTCCTATGCTACATTCTAGGCCTTACAATAACATTTGAGAGAGATACAAGAGTCTATTTGTCCTAAATAATGAAGCGGAATATTTTTCGGTAATCTTTATGGTCGAGGTGCGTAGCGCGTGATTGTCTTTGGTCAGTCCAACCTGGAAAGGTCTTCAGTCGCAAATGGAGGTAAATCGATAAGTGAGATATTATGCCTAAATGAGCTTACCGAGAAACAATTTCTGAGGTGAGAAATTTCACTGAGAGACAGGAAAGTACGATTGGTCGTTTACCACGGTAGTAGCACTTGCGGTAAAGTATTTTGCGTAATTTTTTACTAACACACAACTACAGTTCGCCTGCTAGGACATTGCGGCAAACAATTCGCTTGCACGGTACGAAGGCTCGCACTTTCCTGTGAATTTATGCCTGTAGCATATAAAGTGAAGCCTCCGATGTTTGCGATCCACTAAACGCCCTCTAGGATTGCCTGCAGGCAACGGTCAGGTTGCCGTGCAAACCAACACTGAGATCAGTGGTTAGTTCTGAAATTTTAGAAAGGTTCCTTTATAAACATTATTGCAGACAAATACCGATTGCTAGTGGACCTAGTGATAAGCTAATATTATCAGTCAAGTATTTATATACTTAATTCGATCAATCTAAGCATACACACACGTGACAATTTAACATTGACCTGCATACGGAAAATAGCTACGATACGAAGAAACAATACGAAGTCGAGCAAAGGGATCAATCTACTTAGTCGAACTTGATATTATAACGCTCATTCGAGGTATTTGTTTATACTGATAAATAAACGGATATTACCCAGTTTCCTAGCTGAACCTAGTTTTCGTCGTTGCTGGTAAAGTCGAGCGACCTTGACCAACTAACAGCCGTCGTCATGAATTGTTGAATTTCCCCTATTTCTGCCTAGGGACCCGTATAATGTTGTCAGCACGTGCCTATGTGTATGTGGTCCTTAACTGTGCGCATGGTTTCACGGCGTAACTAGGACAGACTTCGTATTGCTTGTGCATCCATGAAAGATATATTTTTCTTCTGTAAGGAAAGATGAGAGGACATGTAAAGATGGCATAACGCAGTGGGCCGACGAAAGTAAAATATAATATTATTATAGAGCCAGGATGACGAGCGTACAGCGATTGAAGAGCTCTTTCTCATCTTGTCAAGTAACGACTAACGTCGTACAGAGGAGACGATGGCTGGACGACGCACGCTGATAAACACGCAGTTGCAAACTTGTTAGAATATTATGGCAAAAAAAAGTAAGATTATGTTTGTAACGCACTCTTAGCTAATAAGAGTGACACAAGAGGCATACGAAAAAGTACATGAGCTGATTCCCGAAGATATTAGATTGGGCCAAGATGTAACCTTTTTTTTCTTGGTCTATGCAACTTTAAGGGTATTACTGGAAGCAAGAATATGAAGGAACAACTTTCTTTTGGATAATAAGGTTTAAGAAGGTAAATTGATTCTGTTCTCTACGAATTTGTTGTGTACTTTGTTAATGCCAATCAGGCGACTGTCAACGTTATTAAGCCAAGATGTAAACTAGATCTGAGTTTACTTGAGGTCGAGGTAAAAAAGAATAAGAAATTTTAAACTGGCAAAGACCAAACGTTTCTTGGGTAATTGAGGTTCAAGTACTTTGTTTTCAACGTGGCTCCTCTGATGTTATTTTGCATCTAGAGCGGATCAAGGGCAGATGTTCTCGATGTACTTGAAGAAAACGATCATATTTTTAGGTTTTATTTAGCTAAATATATCTAAAACTATTTACGAATTATATTAACACGATACGTAATAGCATCGTCTGTTAAGCGACATTATATTGTTTTGCTATCGACTACGGTTTTGTACGCCCGTTACATGAGTCCAGTGGGGCGCACAACAAAGTGGGTGTGCGATACTCTTACTGTGCTTAGCGGATACGTCCTATGCTGCTCTTTATTTATATCGATTTATATTCATTTGTTAGACACTTCAATTTACCTACTAGGAGTACGCCTAAACATAGGCTCATCTTGGCCCACTTATGCAGATACGGTTTTTGGAATTGCCAGCCGTTATCGTACTTGATTAAGTATCACTCAGGAACCTGTCGATGCACCCTAACGCTACTTTACCATAGAGATTAAGTATCCAGGTTTTTTTAATAGTATTTTTTTGTCTTTTCTATGCAGGTCAATGGCCCACGAAATTAGAGATGAATATGTGATTTCTTTACAATAGCTCACATCAATAAGGACCCGCCTGATGTTTAGAGCGCTAATCACTTCTTCCCTTGACAGAAGATCTGCTGGTTTTATCTGTGTTACGCTGCCACTATAGCCTTACGTGAATATGCTGTAAACGCAACTTCCATGCTGTAAGTTAGTACCATTTGTCGCCACCGTTGTCGTCTATTCTTTTCGCTTTGCGTCGTTACATGTAATCCTTGAAGGTTAGTAATACTGCTTATTTTCTCGATTCATTATCTTGTTTACGCTCATATTTATAGCGTCTCTATGACAACCAGCATCAGCTAAATGCACTTGCTATCCTTTGTGCGCTACGTGTAACCATTTAACAAAAATTCGCTGCTGCTTAAAAGATTTTTCTGCTCCAAGACAGGGAGCTATCAGCGAGGATACCGTGTTGCCAGCAAAAAGGGCCTGGTGTGACGCCACCACGTCGCAAAACGTCGTTTCCATTGTCCTATAGTCGCCCTGTCCATAGTTATGTATTCTTCTCTAGGGCGAGAAACCGCAAGAGATTCGCATGCAGCCCTTTCCAAGCCCCCTCGCTTGGACTGCTCTTTCCCCCCGCTCGTACTGCTCCAGTTCTCACACTGCCCCGGAGGTATCTCGTTGAAAACGTTACCTCTATCTTTTCTGTTCTCTAGCATTGGTCTGCACTTTAAGTACTTTGCAATGCAACCCGTCACTCTTATCCTTTCAAACATTTAGGCAGCGAATACTAAAACGAGCGCATTAGTGCAGAAGGATAGGAGGTTCCGGATGAAATACGAGCGCACCTATGCATCAGCCCGTAGTTGCGGCTTTGTGTGTAGTGGTGTGGGGGGCAAAGAAAAACCCGACCCCTCACTTTCTTGGGGAGGGGGGGGGGGTAGCAAAAGAAGGTAATCCGACACGTTTCATGCGGACGGCGTGAGCAGAAAACTTCACGCTCGCAAGAGGTAATTTGCTTTCATCTGCTCGTTTCTGGTCTGGCGGGCAGCTTCGTTTGCCCCGCCGCTTGTCTCCCTCCATTGCGGGAACATTCGGAGACGACGTATTCGCGGAACCTCGTACGTACTTAGATATATGTACGGACCTTTCGCTTTCGTCTTACAAGTGTGCCCCGAGTGATACTGCATCTCAAGATCATACTTGTAGTTGTCGACAGAGTATGCGGGCGCACCATGCTGCGTCTCCAGCTGGCAAATTCGGTTGTTTGTTAGGCTGAACTAAGCAGCTACGTTGATAATTTCTAACTAACAACACGTTTACTATGGCAAACGTTTGTGGTATTAAAATTACTATTGGTACTTCCAGTTTTACACTGCCACTCCCGTCAAAGTATGTTCAACACGGCATCACGACTATACAATCACGCGATCCGCACATTCGTGTTCGAAAAGTACACTATAAATTATTTCTTTTTCGTTGTGTTTCGGCTGTTATTTTAATAGTTAAGGATTTAACTATCGCCATGCTTATGTGGAGCTTCTTCATTTTGTCACACTCCTTTTTATTCCGGATAGGTTTCTTTTATTTTTATATATTTAAAAGGTAATCAGCGTGATCGTGGGTCGTGTCTACGTGCTCTTTTTCAAACAAACAAACTACCATAGAAATAACATAATCAGGCTGATAATAATCGGTCTACCAATAGTTCATATGTGTATTAACCAAATCTACTAAAGAAATTAGTCTCATATTGTCAGTTAGATCAGGACGTTGGGCGTAACTGCATTTTGTCCACCACTAGCCATTTGTCGCCTGTTCCTGCCTAACGAGTCATACCTACTGTAACCCCAAACCGCTTAGACGTCATCTTGCCAGCCCGATTTGTATAAAGACGCTCGCTAAATAATCACTTAGCCGTTTTCATCTCAGATTTTTTGGAATGGTCCTAAATGAATTGTTACCACATAGTCCTACCTGGTTGCTAATTGCGCATCCCAGTGATAAGGTTTGTCCAGCATATCGTCCTGCGCCTATTACGACATACGCAACCGTTTTATGCATTGCAGAATATATATGTATGTGTGCTATCTGCTTACGCTGTATAGACAACGAGCCGCACGGCCTAAGTTCGTGGTCGTATCGTTACTCGGTTATAAAAAAAAAAACGATCCTCTTCTCTCGTTTGAAATAGACCATTCTCAAGACACCATTCCACGTGCTTCGTCTTCAACTTCAAAGTTGTCAAGTTGTAACCTATTACATTTATGTGAATGGCTAACTACTTATAGTTATTGGTTCAATGGGTATTCATAGTTTATTGGTTAACGTCCAAGTGTGGCCTCATTGCCCAGTCGTTACTCGCCATTACTATTATGTAAAGGCTCCGTCCAGGATGATATTACTCAACGTAGAGTATCCACTTCTACAAAATTTCACAAAATATGGCGTCACGCCGCGTAAGCTAAAGGCCGGTGTAAGCGTAACTGGCCTACTGAATAGATGGTCTGAACTTCTGTAAATATTTTCATAGGGTTTTACGTGTGGCGTGGCTGCTTAGAGAATAGTTACTTTCGCTACATTGAGACTTTTTCCTTACTGTTTATGGTTCCGCCTAATAGATATGGTTAGTTTTGAGCTGGTAGAAGGAGACAATAGTCTCCTACCATTAGGGTCGGTCGGCTGATAATGAAATATAATATATGCGAAAACGAATACGTGAAAGAAAGGTGTCCAACAGAAAAACCCTATAGAGGGACAGAAACAAAGCTTACCTTCGACCACTAGTAAGGTCACTTTATTTTCAATGACATCGGAAAGAAAGTTCATCGAAAAACGCCGTGGCCTCTTATGTGACTGGGTGTTCAGGCCAGACGTCGAAGAAGACTTACCTGTAGCTTGTAGGAAAGAAGGTGTTGATCTGAACTGAGCAATATTAAATTAAAGAAATTTTTTTTTTTACTATAACAGGGAACTCGAGGACGATATTAAATTATCGGGCATTAAACGGGGTCTAAAATAAATTACTTAAGTTCAAGAAAGGTTTATTTTAATATACACATTTAATATGAGCAAAGTAGTCCTCTGCATTTTTTTTCGCAGGGGGATTCTGGGCTAGGTTGCCTGCTGTACTAATATTAAGAATAAATAAATATTGTTATCGTCTTATTTAACCTATATCAGTTAATGTAAATTATGGAAGTGAAGGGGTAAAGACGCAGCGGACAACAGATAGGATAAGCTAAATACAACCGAGGGAAAAAGGGATTCAGTAGTTCAGTCCTGTTTGCTTTTCTTTTTCCTTGGCATGGTTTCTTTTATCACTTCTCCTTTTCTCTAAGTTGACTGCAGCTGCTTATAATGATGATTGTCATCACCATTGACGTCAGGCTGCACCGTTTGCTTTCAGTCATTGTCAGTCACTGTCATTGTGTCGAATCGGCTTCGACCTTTGCTTCGGCGGATATAGTAGGCAGCATTTGTCGTCCGTCGGTTCTATCTGCCTCTTTGATCCGCTCGAGTCACACGAATAGGGAAGACATATACTAAAAAAAAGAAAGATATTGCGATTGCACTAACAGGGATCTGGCCTTTAGTGGGTGTGTGTACGCACGTGCGTTCCGAGAAGGAGCAGGCAAGGAGAGGGACAAAGATCAGCACATGTCCAATGGCGCGGCAGATGAACACACACGTTGTAGTTGATGGCAGCGACTCTAAACGGGGCTGTAGCATCAACTGCATCAAACAGTACAGGGACGCAGACAGCCAACCGAAGAGACGAGGTAACGATAAGGGATCAAAGTCACGATAGGTGGCGTGCCGTCCGGCTAGTGACAAATGTTGACGCGACCAGCGCAACTGCCGCCGCCATTGACATACACCGTTACAGCGACGGTTGTAGCTAAAGCAACGGTAACCGCAACGTAGGCTTGCGGATATGGACGAAACGTACGCAGGACTAGAATAATAGGCCTATACAAATATTCTATGGTGCTTTTTGTTTCGTACTCCCGGCCCAGACAACATGAACGAAAAGACAGACATCAGAAAAGAAATGAGGAATGCAGGTGATGGTGTTTCTGAGGCTGTTATCAGAAGTACCGATAGTACGGCTAGATCACTTGTTTTTAGCGCATTTCTGAGTCAAATAACACTACCAATCGGTATATGTCTGTTTTACAATGAACCGTTTTGCACGTAATGTCATAACTGAATTACGTCCTCATAGCTGGAAAAATAATCTTCTTTTGAGCTAGTTTCGTCGATACACATATATATGGTGCATACCCGAGCTGTATATGATAAATGCTATTCGCATTCATTCCATTGAATATCTCTCCCGATGTCAGAGATGACGTTTTTCGGCTTGTTTTGTGACTTAAGCTGCAAAGAACATGTTAATTTTTTAGAGAAGTCTAAAAAACAGGAACCTGTAAAAACACGAGTTCGTTAGTCTCGAATCATTCCTCGAATCGTTCCTGCCAAGTCACTGATTATTAATTACTTTTAATACTACTGAAACGTTACAAAGTTTAGTAAGTTGGAAATTACCATTATCAATGTTCCTCTTTATAGTACGAACAGTTTTACCAAACGAGACGTTTTTTTTTGAGACCTAACTACCGTTTTTTACTGTTTCACATTGAATTGGTTTTAAATTGACATAAATTGTTTAAATTGACTCAAAGGAACGTATATGCAAAACTACTCGACATTGCGTCTATTTCGTGATAGACACTTGTGTATATGGAAGATAGAATGCAATACCGGAAGTAAATTCATCCAGCGCAGCTACAACGTCAAGCAGTTGCGATCACTCTCGTGCACTTCAGCACTACTTCAATACCATTTTCAATCATCTTCGGGTATATCTTTTGGGAGTGTTTGCTCGTGCCTATGTGTTTGTTTGCATTTGTGTGTGAAACCATTGTGGTAATGACCCAAATAGCCTTTCTACCTTCTGGCCAAGAGTAACAACCTTCCTATTTACTATCTCACATTAACCTAATTCAGTACTGAAATAAACTTGCCAGAGATGTTTTCCGAAAAGAGAAAATCCTTCTCAGATTGCTTCCTGCTGGTTCTCCGCCGTTGCTTTGGCCGACTGAGCTAGTTGAAACCGAAGGTCCAGTTTACTGTGGTACTGATGAAGTCATCGCGCTGCTGCTGCTGGTACTGCGGGAAAGCCGGATCTGCTCTAGTCGACCTTGCCAGCTGCTTTCAGCTGAAATCGTGAGGCAGTCGTGCGAGCGGTTTCGCGACTAGTAGACTCACATGGATGATTATGGTAAGGTTGTCTGACTACGGACCCAGTTTCAGGGAGAGGGGGCAGGAACGGACGTCAACCGGCCAGCCGTCAATGGACTGACGGCAGTGCAGGCCTCCGTGACTACCACGGACTGGGCACAATGCACGAGGGAAGGGGGGATCAGTCAGCAGGAAAGCCCGTGATCAGTGCGGCCGCCGTGACTAGCAGTGCAGTAGGAACGAAGAAACCGCAGAACTTGAAGTTGAAGAACTAGAAGTACCTTTCTACAGAATGAGCAGGCTGGTAATGGTAATAAAGGTTCCGTTCACTCCGCCGCCACCGCTTATCGTGGACGATGCTGCATTAACAAACGAACGAATGGAAACTAATGTAATCAAAAAGGACCCCTTACCTTCTGTTTTATCCTACTTTTTTTCGTCGATGTAGTATACATCTATTTATTTGATCGCGCACCAATATAACGGTGCGTCATTCCAAAAACCGCCAAGTAGAACCAGTCTGCCAAATTAAGTTTAGCTTAGCTATACGTTGAAATGGTGCTCACGCGGCGAGTACCGGCTATATAATGGCCGAATAAAATTGTCGGATCTTTGTATAATCGTATCCCATCAATGATATGTGCAGGTGCATTCGTCGTAATTTAGCTGAATGGCGTTACCTCAAAGCAGAATGAAGTGTACAGATGGTCAATCCTTCATACAATATTGCATGTGTACGTTCTCGTGATAGTCACGCTAACAGACGTAAATCCATTTTGTCTGAAATAGCGCCTAGAATTGATAAACAAATATACATTATACCGGGGTGGGTTAAAACCAAGGGCCGTTCGATACACATCTATAATTCTCTAACAGGGATGTCTATCGAAATGTGTGCCTTTAGTATATGAGATTCTCTGGCTATGGGCATACATTTCCAATAAGTATATAGGATCGATCTTCATTCCTTTTTAATGATCTTCATTCTCAGCTTAATATGCAGACAAATAATGAAAACAATACTATGGTGCATAGCTGTCGTTATGGTTGTCAGAACGTCATTTATTCGACCAACGCTTATATAATATTGGGCCGTAATTTGACAAAACAGATGGCCTTAGTAGTAACTCCTTTCATTCCGAATTGTTGCCGCTTTAAAAGTTTGGACTTGGTCTAAGCAAGTCAAACTCTATAAGGCTGGTGACCTTTTTGTTTGTTAGGATTCTAAAAATGTGACAATTTAACGGTGAACCAGTCCCGTAATAAAAAGCCTACTTTTCATTACGGGACTGTTTTTAATAAAAAGTATGATTATTTGAATTTCGACAAGGACTCGAATCAAGCGTTATGCCAACAAAAAGAGAAGCTAAAATTTGATAAATGTTAAATTAAACTGTCCACAGCTCAGCTTGAACCAGTAATTGTATAAAATTGCTTGGAGTGCACATTACGTTATGACCTTAAATGCCTGCTTCTTGAAACAGGCCATTTATTAAAATTTGCAAAGACTGAAGAAGACTGGGTAGGACACAGATGTGATATCTGCGACAATTTTAATTATGACTGAATAGGGCATCCGTTTTTTGGCTATGCTTCACTTGGAAAAGTATTCTGACGAAAGAAACGCAATCAGTGATACGCAGGCAGTTTTTAGATGCTAAAAGTCAATAAGGATTACGCGCAGATTTCCGGCTCGATCACGAATGGTGTTCCTCCGAAATAAGTTATTAGGCCAATACAGTAAATACCAGTGGTCAACCGCCCAATTGTATAGGCACGCAGCAATCGGCCTACTATTCCACTTGACTTTTTTAGCCTGAGCTAATTTAATTGGTTCTCAACATTTTGGAAGATCGGTAATGGATCCATTAACTTCTATATCCTGGCTAGTTCCGTTTGATCCTACGATGCTCAGCACCGAGTGGTCACACTTTTCTCAGGCAAGTCACTTGTAGGATCAACAGGCTCTCAGACAAGCTTCATGATTGGTTCTATCTAATCATAAGGACCGCTTAAATGGGCTCCCGAATAATACTGCTGACTAGATCTCTTCTCCGGCGATAGCTGAATGCAGGTTCAACCGACTCATTGTATCAACCTCAAGTCAATAAAGCCTTTTGGTTACCAATTTATATCACCGAATAATAGAGGTACCATATCTTTTTGTCAAAGTTAGTTTTATTTTTACCAAAAATGTTTAAAATCACCGATACGTATTTTCAACATACTCGACTCCACATACGCAATATTCTAGCGCTTAACAGGTAACAAGCGTTTCCGCTCAAAGGGAACAACTGTTTGCTGCAGACAAACTATCTTGTAGGTCGTCAGTGTATTCAAGGATTTGATGGGAAGTTAGACAGGGTTCGATAAATGCCATGGAGTGAATATGATAATTGAGACCGTCACGGTACATACCTGAGATAAGTTTATACGAAAAGCTCATAGTTTGTCACTAAGCGGCATCTGATTACAGCATCTGTCTTAATTTTCGTAATCCACAACGTATTTTTTGTGACAAGCGTTTCGTCCAAAAGCGCGTGTTGGCGAGATAAGCGTTAAAGACTAGAAGGAAGCGTACTAGAAATTATGGTTGCGTCTGCCGTTTTCACCGAACAATATTGTATGTTTACGGCCAAGTCGTTGCGTTAAATTAGATTGGACCGAGTTTAGCTAGATCCGAATAAGTCATAGTAGCATTGGCGGTGGCGGATTGAGCGGGTTTTGGAAAAAAAATTCTAAAATGCTGTGATAAACACGTTTTAGGAATAAAAACGTGTAACTGCTGTTCCTTTCAGCTTGTACGGCCCCGGGGCGGCAATCGGTCTGACTGACCGGTAGTCTCATAACACTGGCGGGTGAGTGTAAAGTCCTGGAATAGTAGAGGCAAGGACGAAGGGTATTGGGCCATAGAAAGCACGGGTTCACTGCCCCCATCATCGGGACCTCGAAGAGAATCTCCTCAAAACGATCAATCGGTCCACGTTTGCAGCTGCAGTCGACGAAACCGCTTCAGCTCCCGTCGTTTGGAGGGAAATAGCTTGTGAGTTGTCGTTCCATGTTCGTCCGTTGCGGCACGATGCCGCCGGCGCCGACGACATATTGGGATCACGATGAAAGTTACTGTATTTACGCCCCTTAACCGGCAGCAATGGCGGCAGAAGCAGCAGCCGGCTGAGAGTGCGTGATTCTTCCAATTGCGCTGGCGAAATTTCAAAGAAAATAGCAGTCGGAGTGAAGCGGAAATAATGTCTGCCAAGTATATGTGGGGATTAGCAAAACAAAAAGATTCCGTATTTTTAGATTATACAAATTTAGAAAAGGCGTAAACGTATCTTCGAAGTGAGTGATAAACATTCAGAAACACATTTCCTGAAGCGGGGACAGCAACTATTTCTATTAAAGTGTACCCTATTACACAATATTGTGCGCGTGTCAAACGGAGCCGATATCAAGCTACAGCGTGTTTAGAGAAGTTTTTCCAACCACTTAGGTAGAAAGAACTATTAGGGAAAAAAAATTTCTTAGTTTCGATAAGACCTTAATCTAAAGAACGTTTTGCTATTTTTTAATGAATGTTAATGTTTAGCTTCTTATGATGTTAGCTTTTGGTGGTATCGGGACAAGCGCTAGGATAAACATAGTTAGATTTCTTAAACTAATCTAGTATAGGTTTTGGTTAATTTCGTCCAAGATAGTTAGCCGTTTAGTCAGAACGATGACCGCGCGTTAAACGACGAAATCAAACGAGTGCTTGCCGCGTGTCCTAGTTCCCATTTCGTCTTCGAAGTCCTTTTGTCACATCTTAAGTTTAGAATTCATTCGCCATGGGCTATTATGATGTCCGTTACTCAGGTTCAAAAAAATCGTTCAATTTCAAAAAATAATATGGATCGAAAAGTGGGTTAAGTATAACAAAAATCGATTATGTCAATTGTCGCATGATAAAACGATCATTTTTAGTCATGTTAGAATAATACAAACAACGTATCATCCTGCGTTTGCTCTGAACACCTGTCGGGATGTCTCCATCGTCATTTAGTCACTGTCCTATTCAGTAGATCGCATTAGGCCGTCACAAGAAAAGCGATTGAAAAATAAAGCTCAAGGCGTTCATTTCAGATGTGCTTATTGACTGGCGTTGGCATTGCCAGTACATGTAGAACATTTCTAGTGGAAATGGCGGCTTTACTGGTCCAAAGGTCGTCGCCTCTTTAAAGGCCAGTTCTTTCACGCATCGTGGCCAGCGGCGTTGGCGAGCTGGCGAAAATATCGTTTTCCGATATCCAAGGCGACAACATCCACTCTTAACAAATACGTAAGGCACCCTTTATATGCAACGCCAACGAAGGGGCAGGATAGCTGTCAATTCTTACGTCGCAGTTACTGCTCTAATTATTAAACATATTTGTCGTATGAGTAGGGTTATCGTTCTCGGATATAGATAATTCCGATAGATAATATATATTATGTGTGTGTATGAATACATACAAGTAAACATCTACACGAGATTAGTGAGGAGGATAGAACCTCTTTACCCTCCTATGAGTTTCAGAAAAATGGCCCATTTAACAAAGGTTGTTAAGTTGATTGGCCTCTGTTATCTCGACATGAGGTTGAAAGAATAAGCATGATATTAGGGAGATGACAAATAAATTCAATGCACATCGTCACAGTGAGGCTACGCAGCGAAGGGGTGGGTGTCTAGGGGGATTATCTGTGTGTGTTTTATATCATGTGTCTGTACTGTTAGGTGTTCGATTCATCGTTTCGTAAGTAACCTCATCTGCCTCCGATCTATACAATTATTGTCACTTGTTTCTGCGTAGGGGCTTCATTCTATCTTCAGTCGAACTTCCAATTTTTTTCATTCATTAAGTTGTACAGAAGACAAGTCTAATTATTGAGCTAAACATAACTCACAACTTTAATCGATTTTACGTACCGCTAAATTCAGCCTTCCAACTGCGGGGGTCTAGCTGTCAGCTGAGAAACAATATGACAAGCTTCATTCATATCATAACGTTGCTTAGCCTAAATTACAATATCACCCAAATGGGCCAATAGATCGCTTGCATGTACATATATCGTGTAAATATAATGGGCAATTCCGTCCACTGGTACGAGGAAACACTTGACCGTATCGGATCCCATTAAGGTTATGCATACCACTCTTCTGTAACTTCCTATGAAATATGAAGATCCGTATTAATAAGCTAAACAGAGAAAATTCGATCGAACTTAGACGTATGTCACGTATGCAGCGTATTAACACTTAACGAGATTTTGATAAAAAAATAACGCTTACCTATTCGGTGCGTACGTTGAATAAAAACAATAGTTTATAACTATGTTATCTAAATGTATAGGCAAGCTTAGAGGTTAAGTAAGATACGCTTGCCAGCTTCAGCTGACACGTCAGTGGGGGGGGGGGGACCTATATTCTCCACTTCTAGCCTTCTGCAGACGGACTGTGTTATTCCAACTCCAGCGTTGCATTTTGTTCCGGGATTCCAAATACCCTGACCTGTAGCGTTAATTGAACACGTTCTATACGGTAAAAGTTTTACGCGGAACATTGCCGTTAAGCGATATGACTATGGAAAATCGCAACGTGTTGCTGGAAGAGAGTTGCGTGCTTCTGGCGTACCAGGACAGCTCGTCGATAAAGAGAGATCTCGCCTACAGTAATGCCACCTTTCGAGAAGCTCGCACATACGAAGAGGCGCCCTAAATCGAAAAAATAGCAGATGAATATAAACGTAAGCCCAGAGTTTTAAGCTCGATCTAAATACAAATGTAGCCGCAACTGCTTCAAATAAAATTAAGGCACCTCTATCACAGAGTTTTTACCAGGCTCTGCACAAACTACAGAAAATTCGTGGAGTCAGAAAAAGAAATTCACGACAGCCGTTAGTAAATTCAGTGTTGAAGGTAGTTAGAGAATCATTATGATGTAACACCAAAAGCTTCTCTTTTGCTGCCTAAGAGGCGTTGTCACGCCATCAACTTTGCGCGCTTATATGTCGACAAACTAAGTCGGTATCCATTGTCTCGAACTCACCTCTCTGTTCGTCATGAACAGGGTTTCTGTCAGCCGCTGTTTGACTGGTAGTCAGAGGTGGGCATGTTCTATAAAATCTTTCTTATAGGAAAAATATCTGTTACATGCGTACAGTATCTCCGGACAACAGACAAGCAGCCTTTTTTATATATATATTTATATATATTATTAGGATATTTAGGTACCACACCAGTTACTAATTGAAACGGTAACCTTAGAAACTGATGGTATTAAAAAAATATTGTCATATGCGTATAATCGTACCTGCTGTACATATGTGGTATTAGCAGCTGTGGCAAATCGTTTAACGAACGTTTTACACACCTGAGCTCTAACTAGCATTACATAAATCGATTTATTTTTATTAAAGTACAATGCTGCAAAAAAATTACAACGATTTTTTTTATAATAACACAGCCGTTGTTATTAAGCCGAAGTCCGTGGGATCAAAGATATTCTTAAAAACGTTAGTAGGAATTGGTAGCGTACCATATATATGGTTAGTGATATCTGGCATCAGTGAATCATTGATAAGTGCTATACGCTTCAATGAGCAATATTTGTCTTACTGCAATGGACCAGGAATCAGCGTGTCTGAGCGTTTAGATTTCAGTGAGGTCAAAAGAGATACCGTGTGTTGCATTTCATATGCTATAAATAATGAATACGTAAATCTGTACAGAAGGCATGTAAACACGATCCTACATATTTGGCCGTTGTAGGACATGAGGTTTACACACCATGCCTTCACTCAACTAGTCCAGCCCATGTTGTTGCCTTAAGTGCTAAAAAAACAAGCCATTGATTATATTACTACTAAACCTAGGTCCGCACGAAAGCCACAAGGGTATTACAGATATTCGATATTTCCAATCTAATATGCCATCTAATTTAGGAGTGGTTTAAATGTATAGTGACTTTGTGCCATTGCATTGCTTTATGGCTTTTGATTTAGGCTCGAGAAATACATACGGTATGCACACAAGAAGCGTACGTTGTGGCACCTCAGTGACTGCCTAATAAGGAGGCCTCTCAGGTTTGGCAGCTAAAAATCGGTATGCGCGATTGCATATTACCTCATCTATATATATATATATATATATATATATATATATGCATGATTTATTCAAGATACGGTCGACGAGGCATGGCGCATTCCCTCCGGTTAATTGAGCCCCATTTCAGCTAGCTACTGGCCCGTGGTCCCCTTTTCCCCGGACAGTATGGGTGGCTCTTTAGTAATTTGGTACTGCTCTGTGCTAAAAAGATTTTAATTCTTTACTCCTTAATATCTTAAACGCGTTAATTGATTTCCTCTCTAATTACACTCCTGCCTTCCTGGTCATCGACTTCCCTAGAGTAATGTGCTTCCTACAAATACTCCTGGGAGAAATAGCTGTTTTGCAGAGCTTCAGATACTCCCGTTCTTAGGGCTATAGGAGGAGTTCGCAAAAAAGCTTGAAGCTCATTCGTGATGTCTGCCACTTGAGCTGAAACTCACTCTCGGGCGGAGAAGCTCACTAGCGGAAACGATTCCTGACAACGGATCTCTTCAAAAGCTCATTTAGCTCATTAAGAGATATCAACCTATTCTTAGCTTTTTTTTTTTTTAGATTAAAATCACTTTTATGTTTACTTTTTTAGAATATAACTAATATATCACTGCCTGACTTTTTCCTACTACATGCTTTACCTCTTTTTCAAGCGTCCAGTGATCCGTTCGCGTCAAACTAGTGTAGGGTCAGCCTGATGAACCTAGCACATCGTTGTGCTAGGAATTTTTTACGTTTCAGTTTGAACGATTACATACTAGGGGATAAATAATAGGGAATACAAAAAAAATTGAATTGAAAATACACTAGCTTGAAGACTAAACGGCATGAGAGGGGTGCTTAATATATCAGAGTTGTAGTGGCCAGATTGCTGGCAGCGTGCAAAGCGAATCTTGAGCCTCAAGCTAAACCTGCTGTAGATATAAGCTATTATAAGATATAAGTTGTTAAAGCAGTCAGTGACGCGTTATTCATACTGAGTGAAACAAAATCTTGCCAGAACACCGTATGTAATCTCACTCCCTTATAGTGAGGAAAGCACTTATTTTAGTCAGAAAGCATATTCTAATGGATAACCAGCAGCACCAAAACGTGCAGTATAGGAGCTGAGCAGTACGATGCACGCGTTCATCCTAACAATAGAAGGTTCAACGAAATAGTACTATGCACATATCAGTATTCAGATCATTTAAGGTATACTAGTTTTCCGAAACCGATAAATGCAGTTCGTGCATTACAATTCAAAGCCTCTTTGATTTGTGCACTGTGCTGCTCGCCATTGCGCCCTCTGGTGGCTACCGGGCCTGAATAGCAGTGCACCTACTGGTCAACCCACCGTTAATAACTAATAAAACTTAACAGGAAGAACATATTTCTTGTCCAGAAAAGCTCGATTTATCATCCAATTGAAGACAGCAGCATCCCTTCAGAAAATTTAATCTTCTGTCAGGAGCGCCTACCGAATCGTTCTTTTTTCGAAACCGCAGTGAGCATACAAATGTGTATACACTAAACCCAATATATCTTTGCCGTAGTCAAAACTCTCCTATCGTTAGTCGTTGAACCTACGGAGTGGATTCAGTCTCAAGAGAAGTGGAGAGACTTTTAATCTCATAAATTGGAATTCTTAAAAAAAAAATCATGATCGTTTCTAGCCATATTAAGTCGGATTTGCACATACTTGTCTCTCTCCCCTTTTGCTTGACCAGTTTTCCTGGTCAGGTCAGATCGGAGATAGCGCTAAAGATGGTTCCACTGTTCACTTCAGCCAAAATTCGCTCTCGATTCTATTAAATACACTCGCTCTGTTAAGCCTAACCGCTGGAGGTACCCACATCACCAATTTTCCTTATGATTTTTACAGTCGCATCGCCCTTATTTTTTCGTGTAGATACATTTTTTCTCACTCTATTACCCGATTTCTTGTTAGTTTAACTTTCCTTTATTTCTGAAGCCCGCCACGGCTGTCCCCACATTTTCCCACTATCTTGATTTGTTCAACAAAAAAAAGACAGCGGGTGCCAACATATAATAATAATAATACATGTGTCTGACATCCCGATGACCTAGGTATAGTTAGGTCTCGGAACATGATCCGTGGTTAGACTAGTTATGGTCTTTGTGCTCAGAAGTGTGTTACAGTGGATCTGCT